TATATATATATATATATATAAGCATTTGGAGCCCTCAATTTTCAAATCTAACTTTACCTAGAATTTCTGTGTCAAAATATTTTTAAAATACTTAAAACCTTCCTCCTCCCCTTACTATACTTTAAAACAATTTAAATTGCTTCTAGTTATATTTCACAGATCAGTCTTTGAACATATTTTCTAACTGATTTGGCATTATCTAATCATTCATCAGGTAATTTCAGAAAATCTAGCTATTCAAGAATCAAGGCATAAAATGAGTAAAATCATCTAGCTTGGGATCTGTATATGATTTCTTTAATTTGACAGCTTATCAACTTTAGATAAAATGGAAGAGTTGATTATCTAGTTTAAGAGGTATACATTTTATAAATAATCTAAAAAGTAAAAATAAGGTACAAATTTCCAGTTATAAAATACATAAGTCATGGAGATGTAATGTACAACATGATGACTATAGCTAATATACTGTATTATTGCCTATTTCAAAGATCTTAGAAGTCCTCATCACAAGAAAAAAAAAATCTGTAACTATGTATGGCAATGGATGTTAAGTAGACTTATTGTGGTGATCGTTTCACAATACATAAACATCAAATCATTATGTTATACATCTGGAACTAATATAATGTTATATGTCAAATATATCAATAAAAAACATGAAAATACCTTTATTAAAGGCTGTCAGGTTTAGTCACATGATTTTCAAACCTCACTAAATTAATTCAGAAAGAACTACCAAATTTGGAAACTAGAAAGAAATAAATGTTAGATTTTTTTACCCAAGAGTTAGCACAAGTAAGACCAAAGGCGGCATGACTGAGAAACTGAAATAACACAAATGACATGGTAAGTGATATAATAAACACATCTCAACATTAGACATTTTTAAAAGGTCAAGGGCCTGGGTTAATTGTAATTAGCCTGCATGGGTTATTTTTATCACACTGCCTCGCCAAGACCCATGGGAATGCCTGCCCAGAGTTCAGGAGTTTCCTCACTACAGAGCCGGATAATATTGAAGACAATCAACCAGAGTGACAGCATTCACAGAGCGCAGGCCCAGACCAGTGGAGGCCATCAAGTGGTCACAACTTACCCCAACGTGTTGCCTGCCAGCCTGCCCAGTGTCTCAGAACCTGAGAGAAACCATGGGGAATCACTCGTCCTCCCAGGCCTGGATGTCCTCCCTGCTCCCGAGTTGCTGTTCAACTTCGACCTGGGGAGGGGAAAAAACAAAAACAAAAATGGGAGGTAGAACAGCTACAGAACAGTTCCAAACTGCCTAGGCACAAGCCTGGGTTTCCCAGCCTCGCTACCCTGGCAGTGACTGTGCTCAAATACCAACCCCACAAATTCTCCCACTGCTCCTCCTGGAATGTATACTTCACATCAAAGAGCAAGCCTAACAAATCACAGGCTCCTGGCAATCCAGCACTCACTCCTGGTTGAAAGTGTTTTCATGGTTTAACTGCAAATGAATTGTTCTTTAGATTTTTTAAAGGAATCCTGCTTTCCTTAGAGGCAGTCAACTGAAATTCATCATACATTATCCAGTAACTCTTTTAATATATCATCATTTATAAAGACTACAATTTTAAACACCATTGTCAATCTCAAATTGAGTTACTGGATTTGGAAATATTAAAAAGGAAAAAACACGGAGTGCCAGTGCTCAATTGGTACAGCGTGCGACTCAGTCTTGGGGTCATGAGTTCAAACCCCACGTCAGGTGTAGAGATTACTTAAAAATCTTAAAAAAAAAAAAAAAAAAAAAAAAAAAAAAAAGATCTAAAAAGTCATTTCAATCAAAGAACAGATCTGACTTGGGACCTACCACATACATAAATCATTCTTCTGGTAACAAATTTCTGTTAAGTGATCTACTCTTCTGCTATTTTTAATGCTAATATTTTAGCTATAAATCACCACTTGCAGAAAAATTATAATCAAACTACAAAATAACCAGTTCACTATTTTAAGTCCCTCATTTTCTACAATGCTTTTTTCTTAAACTTGAGGGCTATCAGAATCAAAACACAGGTTTAATATAATATCTTTTTTTTTTTCTGTTTATTTATTTTTGGGACAGAGAGAGACAGAGCATGAATGGGGGAGGGGCAGAGAGAGAGAGGGAGACACAGAATCGGAAACAGGCTCCAGGCTCTGAGCCATCAGCCCAGAGCCCGACGCGGGGCTCGAACTCACGGACCGCGAGATCGTGACCTGGCTGAAGTCGGACGCTTAACCGACTGCGCCACCCAGGCTCCCCTTAATATAATATCTTTTAAGAGCTAAATACTTACTAAATGCAAAGGGCATAATGTCTTACCCATCGTTATTATCAGGTTTGCCTAATTCCAATCTGTCTGGCTGTACTGAAAAACCGATCCTGCAAACTCTACCATCCTGAAAGCAAAAAAAAAAAAAAAAAAAAAAAAAAGAAGAAGAAGAAATGGCCCAAGTAAAAATGTGTATTAAAATATGAATTTATTCAATAAACAGATTATGTCTCCATCACTGTCAATTCATAAGACAACATATAAGCTCCTTTCCAGAAGGCACTCACACCTGACGTGCGCAAGTATGTGTTACATACATGATCAGGATAGCAGCAAAAATAAGGTAAAGTATCCCAATCTAACAGAATTCAGAGTAAGTAAATGACTGGATATCAGGAACTTCTCCATTCTGTTACTAACTAGTTTCAAGCTGTAGTAAATCATTTAAGCTTTCTCTGAGCCAGAGAATGTACACAATAAGGAAATAGAACTGGGTGATCTCTGAAATAACTCTTGCAAGAACCTTCTATTTTAAAAACAGAAAATTTTCTGGCTTAAAAGGAAGACACATGATAATGCACAATTGTTATTTTAACTGTTCCTTTTCATTTCTGTATCTTACAGTAAACGATTTACCTCAAGAAGAAAGGCAGCATGATTTGGTCCTACCACACACTGTTTGATAGTAGCCTGTTCCAATACATTCAAAGGGGGATGGCTAGGGAATAAAAAAGAAAGACAAAGAAAAATAATTTTTTAAATGGCAAACACATTCTAGGGTTGGTTGGTTGTTTGGTTTTTATCCAATTAACCAAAGGAAAAGATAGCTGGCAAAACTTGTTTCTAAAAATTATTATTTACATATCTTGAAGCAATATTGAAAAATAATAATTGTGATATCCTCATAGTTACTGTATGTCCTTGGTATGCCAGACTTTTAAAAAAAATCAGTATGAATAGAACCTATAATTCAAATGAAACGAATTAATAAAAGTTGATAGTTTACAGTATTCTTAGTAGCTTCTACCTAAATGAGTTCTTTTTCCTAGTTAAGAAAAATCGTTTTCAGAAAATTTAAAATACCTTAAAACTATTACCTGTTTAAGTTGTATTTGTTCAGTTTCTCTGAAACTTCCCGTAACCTTTAAAAACAAAACAAAAGGAGAATAAACTACATGTACCAATTATTTTTAAACAAAAGTAGTTCTGATAGGTACTCGTATCATTATTTGGTGATTTCTAATAGTAGCACACAAAGAAATTTGCTATGGCAAGAATGTTTTTATATTGTCTTTGACTTCTGTCCCAAGAAAAGAGTCACAAGTCAACTCTACAATTCCCTCATTTCCCTATAATTCCTACTTTCCCTCACTGCCCCATTAGCAACTTCAATAATAACAACATTAATCCCTTTTTACAGATGAGGAAACTGAGGCTCCTAGCATTTATAATACAAAAAGTGGCAATAAAGCTGGTTCTTGAAGCAACACCAGTGGAAAGCCAGTTTTTAAACACTGTGTGCTACATATGTCAAAAGAGATTCTTGCATATCTCTTTGTACACGTATACCATGGAATGAAAATATGGAGGAGCAAAGATCTATTAAGAATTTAACATAATGGGACAGAAAAAGCATGAAAGCCTAACTGACTTAAGACACAGTCTCAAGTTCCTGAAGGACCTTCTGATGCAAAACTGTACAAATTAAAACCTCCACATCATCTATAAAACACGAATAACACCTCCTCCCATTTCTTTTGCTTTTTAATATTTCCAGTTATTATTTAAATTTTAGTTATGGGGCGCCTGGGTGGCGCAGTCGGTTAAGCATCCGACTTCAACCAGGTCACGATCTCGCGGTCCGTGAGTTCGAGCCCTGCGTCGGGCTCTGGGCTGATGGCTCGGAGCCTGGAGCCTGTTTCCGATTCTGTGTCTCCCTCTCTCTCTGCCCCTCCCCCATTCATGCTCTGTCTCTCTCTGTCCCAAAAATAAATAAACGTTGAAAAAAAAAAATTAAAAAAATAAATAAATAAATTTTAGTTAATATATAGTATAATACTGGTTTCAGGAGTAGAATGTAGTGATTCATCACTTACACCGAAAACTCAATGTTCATTACAGCAAGTGCCCTCCTTAATACTCATCACCCATTTCGCCTATCTCCTCCCTCCATCAACCCTCAGTTTGTTCTCTATAGTTAAAGAGTCTCTTATAGCGGTTTGTCTCCCCACCGCCTTTTCTTTCCCTTCCCCCATGTTCATCTGTTTTGTTACTTAAATTCCACATATGAGTGAAATCATATGGTACTGGTCTTTCCCTGACTGATTCATTTCACTTAGCATAATACACTCTGAGTAGCTCCATCCATGTCATTCAAATGGCGAGATTTCATTCTTCTTGATGGTTGCATATTACTCCACTGCACATATATACCACTTCTTTAGCCATCCATCGATGGACATTTGGGTTTTTCCCATAATTTGGTTAATACTGATAATGTCATAAACACTGGGGTGCACATACACCTCCATCATTTCCAAGAGTGTCAAGTATGCTTCGAAAAATCTCAAAGGGCTAAATAACTAGAAGACATTAACTCATGTTATCTATTATGATTTTGCAGTTTCTCTCAAGGAAACAGTCTTGAATATAAAATATTATAATACTAATTTAAACTAGGCACTTTTGTCAACTTCTATAACCAAAACAACTGCTTGGTCTTTGAAACTTTTTCATAAATAATTCTCTTAAAAACAATTTTAGAAAGCAATAGAAAAAAATTAAAACATTAAGAAACTCCATGAATTTTGCATTCTAACAAGTGACAAAAATACACAACTTCAAATTTCAATAATTTGTACTGACAGGTGAGAGTGGTATACATACTCCAAAAATACATCATAGCTTAAAGCCAGTTCAGGATTAAAAAGCTGCCACAAACCATATTATATGGGCAAATAATATGTCGGTAAGAGATTCTAGTAGGACCCAGCTGTCTCTCCACTTTACTTTATCCTGTAAATTCTATTCTCTGTTTAATGCTGAGGAACATCTTTCAAACACTAACATATATACAGTTACTTTCCAATTCTGAAGCTTACTCCTAAGCAAGAATTACTTTCAGACGATGCCATACTTAACTTCTCTCCCACTCACTGGTGACTTTATTCTCACTCCCAAAGAACAGCACTTGACCATGTGTGAACTGGCCCCAAAGAAAATACATTTTCATTTTTGTTGCCTACCGTTGCATTTACTTTCATTAACAAAATGTGTTTTCCTTGTCCAGTCAAGTCAAGCCTTTTCACCAAATCCGAGTTTGCTCACTTACAAGGCATGCTTCTTCTATGTTCCAAAAAAGATAAAATACCTTAAGAGTAAAGCATTATGGGATTCATGAGCTCTGAGAGAAGACCAACTAGAAAATGGGGATAAAATAAACTGGAAGGCTCTTTCAGAACCCCTGGAGCAAAGGGGCAGAGTTGGAGGGAAAAGGCTAAGAAAGGTTTTACTTCCTAAACAGAACAGTAGTGACACTTTGAGAAGGTATGTGTTTTCCTGCATACAAGTAAACCCATTTCAACCCCATTCCTTTTTCTTCAACCAACACTGAATGGACAACTTTCACAAAGTACACAGTTGTGGAGGAGAGAGAGAGAGGAGTTGGGGCAGATAAAATTTATCAAAGTCTTTTCAAACTGCGGAATAACTGATTTTAAAAATTAAATGCCGCTTTCACAGCATATTTCACGGCTCCAAATATTATTCCATGTACACAGTACTTACAACACTAAATAAGCTTTGAGAACATAAAAACGCTAAAAGTACTAAGTCAAGAACTCAACAGCAAATTTCAGGCCACTGAGGGGCTGGTTACTACTAATTTTCTAATCTTAAAAATCACAGTGGACTCCTCACCACATCTGAAATGTACACCATCTGTACTGGAAACAATGCCTACTGGATAGCAAGAAATCTGGGACTTACTCCCAGCTCATCTACTACTGACAGGGCTCATTTGAGTCTGTCAGGTTTCATGTTCTCACCCTGTAAGGGAAAATGTGGTTCTTTTCAGTCCTGGAATTCTTAAGAATGAAAAGCAAATACATATATCAGTGGGGAATACATACATACAGTTTACATGAGAATAGCACCTACTGTCATATTCAATTGCATCTAACCCATCTGAAACTTTCATATACAAACTGATTTTACATGGACATTTAGGCTGTTTCCCCAAGTATCAAGTTTTTTAAGTTTCTTAAATTTAACCCCAAAATTCACAAAAAATTTATCATTCTTGCAAATATCAAGACTGTTACTAGTACTAAATTGGTCCCCTAAGCATAAATCCCAGATAATCATGACAAAGAAATCTACAAACAAACAAAAAAGGAGTATTGGGGTGCCTGGCTCAGTAGGTTAAGTGTCTGACTCCTGATTTCAGATCAGGTCATGATCATGGGATTGAGCCCCCACTTCGGGCTCTGTGCTGACAACCCAGAGCCTGCTTGGGATTCTCTCTCCCTCTCTCTCTCTGCTCCTCCCCTGCTCATACTCTCTCTCTCAAAATAAATAAACATTAAAAAATAAAATACAATAAAATAAAATAAAATAAAAGGGTATTTAGTTCCCTCTTTTACATCATGGACTCCTCAGCGCACACACAAATCACAGAATCACTGCAGACCAAGGATCACATTCATGTACTAAGTTACTGAATGTCTATACATGATTATTAGGCACTCATCTACTTTAAAGGATCTTTCTCCAAAGGCTTACAATGCTTAAACTCATTAACTATATTCTCTCTTATAGCAACATGAACAAAAAAATCTCCCTTGTTTTCAAAATAAAAGGAAAACTACCCTAGAACTCACCAAATTCCATTTCAGAATAAATCTTTACATGTGGTTGTGATGGAAAACAATTTTAAGAGCACTGCACAATATTACAAAATAACCTCATAACTCAACATTTAATCTCATTCAGGGACAGGCAGGAAAGCCTCTGTGAAGTGCCTGTAACACACAATGGATAGGCTAGCAATAAGCTCCCGACAATCCTTAGTACTCCTACACCAAAGATTTATTCTATATTCCAATTCAATAACCTATTTCATTCCTTTAAATTTATAGGCATTTTACAGATCCAAAGGCTGGAATTTTTTTCTTAACGCACCAATGTAAGGTAACAGCAAACTGATGTTTAAAAAGAGACAAGAGGGGCGCCTGGGTGGCTCAGTTGGTCAAGTGTCCAAATCTCGATATACTGGCTTAAGTTGTGATTTCACCAGTCATGAGATCAAGCCCAGCATAGCCCCACCGTCAGGCTCTGTGCTGAGCATGGAGCCTGCTCGGGATTCTCTCTCTCCCCCTTCCTCTGCTCCTCCCCACCCCATCCCTCCCCCCACTTGTGCGTGCATGAGGGCACACTCTCTCTCTCAAAATAAATATTTATTTTTTTTAATGTTTTATTTATTTTTGAGAGAGAGCGTAAGCACAAGCAGGGCAGGGGCGGGGGGGGGGGG